AGAACAAACAAAGTCACTCAGAAAATAATTTAGAATAATTAATACATCTGAGAACTTTTTCAATCCGCAAGGGCATGTTTTGTGAGTAGTGGAAAACGCACCACATACCCAACTGTTTAGTATTAAGTGCTACAAGAGCAGAGCAAAATAAACCTTATCAGAATGCAGCTGCTTAAATGGTCTCTGTGACCATCCTGACCCAAATCCCAGGAGACACATCCCATTCTTAGGAAGCCAGCAGGGGTTGGATGAAGACCAGAGAGAGGCCAAGAACTCAGGAGCTTGGAGACTTCTCCCACTGCAGTGCCGGGGCCGGCTGAGGCATGGGGCAGGGCAGCAGAAGCCTGGGCTATGGTGTCTGTCTCAGGGCTCCCAGGCACTGGAGTGGGGAATCTGGCACTTCTTGCACCAGTGTTGATGTTCGCTTCAGATGAGGAAAGGTACTGAGCTTGGATTACTTCAGAAGCTTACTTCTCCAGGCCAGTGAGATGCAAACCAAGTGGTATCAGCTTGCTAACCTACATCAGAAAACGAAATGTGGTGAAAAGCAGAGGAACATGCCTCTCTCTCTTTGTACCTCGACCTCTACGCAACTGAGTACACGGCCTGCTCCTCTGAGGGTTCATGTGCACTCGAGTAGCCATCTGCGGTGCCTCATGATGGTATGTCCCTCTGTCTGTAGGCCCATGTCTCCCTGCTATGTTCATACCAAGCTTCATCCAGAGCACACTAGTCAACAAGGTGATTCCTGCAGCTGTCACAGGCTTTGGTTCAGGCCCTGTGGTACGGACAACACACTACAACCACTGCCTGTTCACCAGGAGCAACAGCCCTACCTTTGCTCTCTTGGTTTTTCTTCTAGCCATATCCTCAGGATGAGAAAGCATCTACCAAGACCAAGGTGCAAGAAAGGCAATAGATGGAGACAGAAAGCAAACGGCAACGTGATGACCTGGCAGTTAGAGGATGTTGAGTTGAACACGGGAATTCGCAGCATGCTTGAGCTGGGCAGTGACATACATTTGTTTTTCAGGAGGGACAAAACCAAAATGCTAGCAGCTGCCACCAAACTGAAACGCTTCTTTCAGCTCTAACTAGCATGATACAGTACAGTGTGCTGTCTACTGCAAGAGAAAGAAAGAAAGGAAAAAGCTATCTACTTACTGGGTTCCCATCAATGCCTGGAGGTCCTCGTTCCCCAAAATCACCAGGAAAACCCTGAGGAGAGGAGGCAAACACAAGTATTAGTTATTGATGCACCCTGGTGTAAAGACAGATTAAAAACTGCTCCCCTGCACTCAGTGCAGAGTGTTGGTAGACAGCGGGTCACGAAGAAGTGTGGGCCATCCAGCCTGCTTGTCCTCATCCAAACCATTCCTTCTCCACCAGCACATCCGCTCAGCGAGAAGCTCTACAAAGCCAAGAGCTCTGATTCACTGCTCTCTCCTGGGGCCAACGAAGGGTAACCAGAAGTACCGTTTACAAGGCTCAGCCATGAGCTGCACATTAACTAATGGGAGCCTTGAGAGGAAGAATCAGTGAGAAGACAGGAAGGCTTTTCCCTTGGCCATGCTATGAAAAGCACCCAGTGCTGAGGCTGCTGGACCTGACTTGTTTGCACCTTGTCTTGCAGGCTACGTCCAGCCCTCAAGCAGCTGTGTCTTTTCTCAGCACCAGTTGTCAGCTCTGGGCACGCTTCATACGGCAGGCAAGGCTTTTGCAGCACCATGTAGAAAGACAACGTGAGTGTGAGTAGCAGTGAGAAGGGGTGGAAATCTGTCCTCCTTCTGTCCTCCTTTTGGTTCACCCAAGTACTCCAGTACGTCTAACGAGAAATATGCAGCCCTGAAGATTATGTTGCGTAGATTACATGTGAAATGATAATCCCATATTTGGAAGATCAAACTCTATACTTAAAGATACAGTGCTTTCTATCCTCTTTCAGGAATAAATATCCTACTGATAGCATACTTCTGTAAAAGTCAATCCCAAATGCCTCATGTTCCAGAAGAACTCATAAACCTCACTGCAATGACTATCCTCAAAAATGGATCGTCAATCTGAATTATTTCATCCTGTCTACTAACCCAATCATTTTAACAGTACCCCCTTCTCATAGGATAGCTGAATAGCGTAATGCCTGTTGGAGCCCATGCAGATGCTTAATGGGGCTGATCAAAGATGCTTAGTGAATTCACTCCAATGCATTCACGACCTTTCAGCTTGCCAGAGGAACAAACGGTTCCAAGCTCATTACGGTCCACACCCCAGAGCTGTGAAAGACCATGTTCACTACATGAAAAAGTCACCACAAAAGACTTTATCATCATCTCATTACATCCGATACAAATTTGGAAGACTTCAAACAATTATAGAAAAGGGAGTGGAGGTACTGAGCCAGAGCCAGAACATGGTGGTGTGACACGTTCTCTCTCGCACTCTTAGACAGACCTTGTGCTCCCCCCAATTCCCTACTACAAACAAATCATACAGCCCTGTCCTGTTGTGCTCTGTCTCCCTTAGAAAGACCTCAGCAGAGGGGTACACCACCACTGTGGTTAGTAAAGCCTCTTAGTCACTACATGGACATTTTCAAGGAGGAAGCAGTTAAGTTTAAGATGGATTGGACTCAATTTTCCCCTGAGCTTGAACTTCATTCAGCAAAGGACCGGCAGGGAGCAGGCTGCCAAGAGCTATCACAGACCAGCTCAAACATCAGCAGCTTCAGGGCTACTCTGAACTTCAGCTGCAGTGGAAGGTGCTTTGGGGAGGCTGTGACACTGAGGTAAGAGAGTGCTGTGACTCTCCACTTCTTTTTCTTGCATGGCCCTTAACGTGAGATAAAATACAACACAGCATCCACCTCCTTTGACTCTGAGCCAAAAGGGAAACCGTTGTCTGCTAGAGGAGCCCCCCATGGACAGAGCACACGCAGAGCCTAACCCCAGGCTCTGACTCCTAGACTTGGTTAATTCAGCCAGGGCTAAAATCCTGCTTTATTCTCTACGCTATTCTGACCAGGGGCTTCAGGATGGAAAACTAAGGAATATATTTGCATACCAAAGGCTTCCCAGCCAGAGCATCTACCTTTGTGCTTCAGTTCAGAGTGGGAACTTGCGAAGCACATCTCCAGTCACCCCTGCTCCCTATTCTGTTTATGGTGGAGCAGTCTTGGAGGGTCAGCAGTATTGCTTTCACGAGGCTACACCAGAAGATGTGCTCCAGAGATACGTCAACAACCTGCAACAAGTGGGCGAGTTACTTCGGATTCAAACTAGGAGTCCCAGTACAACTGCCTTACACCCTTCTCTAGCTTCACCAGATACAAAGGACAACACAACCATGTTCTGGGCTAGCTAAGAGCTTGAGAGACCATGGATGGAGCCGACAGTGAGGGGATTGTCCTTGCTGAGCCAGAAGGATGGTCTCTCTTTCTGCCTTCTCCCCTGTATACTACAAACACCAATTACCTTGGGAAAGCAAACTCGAGGGAAGCAAAATGTGACAGCCAACAGCAACACGCTATATGGAAACCCATCAGCAACACTGAAAATAGAAATGATTGCAGCGGACAGAACAGGAAAACTATACCGGGAAGCTCTGCAGTCAAAGATGTCATCTAAGACCTCCCTTTATCTCAAGTTTACAACTCCTGGTCAACACAACTAGGTAAAAAGACACTTGGTCAAATCTAAGGTGAGAGATGGGAGACCTGTTTAAGACAACCAAAATTTGGCCACTTTCTTCAGAGCCAGCATTTCACCTCTTCTATACCAATTCCCTACAGCATTCAGTATGCACTCCCGAAAGGACACAACCTATCGCTTGGTTGCTTGGATTCAATACTTCTATTTTATGGGCATCACTGTGAAAGGGAAAGTTGTCTGCCTTTTTCTAGCTGGTCACTACATCCCTCAAGCCTGTGCACATGCCAAGAAGCTGTGGTAAGCAACCGCTGGAAACAGCCTTCTGCCATCTAGAGACAAAGATGTCAAATATAGCGAGAAGGCTGGGGGGCGACAACATTCTTTAATGAAAAAAGGGGAAAAATGACTCTGATACATGCTGAATGAATAAAATCAAAAAAAAAAGAAAAAAAGACTGCCTTGGAATATTTTGCTGTTTACAGTCACACAACTTGCCAAGGAAAATATGAGCGTGCATAGACTGATACTGTACTTACACTGCTGCGGAGTTCAGTCACAGCCTTCAGCACTCCCCCAGTTGGATCCTTCCTTTCCCAGAGGGCAGAACTGGGCACAGTGTGAGCCATGGATGCTACTGAGCAGCCTGGCCCTGGGGCTGCTGAGGCATCTTTTGTCAAGCTAAGGTCGTGCCAACGTGGCAAGGTGTTACGACTTTGAATAGTATGTTTAAATCAATATTGCTACAGCAGCACAATATCATCTAGAGGAATGCTTGCTCCAGACTAAAAGCATTGTCTAAATTTGGTTTAAATCTCTTCCAACGTGATATAAACAGTACACTCCTCTGCCAGAATACAAGTGTCCAGATAAGAAACTATTTAAATTCGTGTTTCCCACTAATCTCATTTTATGCCTCAATTTCTAGTACTAACCTCACTGCTTAAAGAGAAAGACACAGGAGATTTAAGGCACTTGGTTACAGTTAATAAAAATCTAGCTTTTACACAGGCTTTCCAACAGTAGATCTTCAAGTATTTAAAAAAGCAGATTATTCCCGTGTTTTGAAGGCGGAGAGCTGAGCACCTGAGGCCACTTGGCCAATGCTACCCATTAAGCAACAGATTCGACAATAAACCCCCTTCCCAGCACGCTGTGGCTCTCCCCACGGAGCGAGGGTTTCTGCCCATTCTCGAGATGGGATGGAAAAAGGTGAAAGTGGAAGGAAACAGAAGAAAGCCCGGAACAGTGTGGGCTGGCATCGTTGCTACAACAGCCGGGCCCGAGACAACACTCCGCAGCGAAGCCCCGTCCTTGCCAACACCTGATGGTCCTCAACACGCCATCTGCTCCGCTGGCACGGGCACCCCTCCCAGCCTAGGCGCACAGATCTCTGGGGTGATGGGTGGTCTCCTCACACCTTTTGGCCACAGCTCTAAAACGAACCCAGAGGAGGAGACAAATGGAAAGAGCAGCTTCAATTCAACTAATCCCAGGCATCCTAGCCCAATATTTGAGCTCAGCAACACAAGCGCTAACAGCCTTTTGCACATTAAATGGGACCAAGGCTGGTGGCTGTGGCATGAAGGAGGATATTTTGGCATTCATACAGCCTCCAAAGACCCAAACCAGGTTGTGAAAGCTATCCCAACGCAGTCCTGTGCACAGCAGGAAACAATCAATCTTCTAAGCCCCTAATGAAAAAGAAAGCACTTTCTTTCCATGGGGTAAGCAGTAGCAGTTTAAACCACAATAACAGTTCCAGTGACCACAGTGTCCTAATTTATTGCATCTCACATGTCTGTAAAAGCTATTTTTTCAGTGCCTCTCCCCTCCTGCCTGAGCCTAAAGGACAGAGATGTTCCCCGGGAACAAATCTAACACTATTCAACCGAAACAAGCAGCCTAGGAATTACAAGCAGACTTCGTTATCCCATTTGTTTCATTCCTGTAAGCAGCACTACCTCTCCTCTCCCGAGCACTGCTCCAGCAGCCCGAGGAGCCCAAACTGAGGGAGAACACAAGGGGCAGGAAGCTGATTTTATGGTGCTGGCGGACAGGCAGGTCGCAACTGGCAGCCCATTACAGGAGACTTGTGAAAGAGATTAAAAAGCCCAGCGCGTTCAGAGTCTCCTGACCTTCCCAAAGTGAGTGCAGAGGTTTTTTTGGTACAGAAAATCCGCCGTTTTTCAGGGTGCAGCTGCTTTTCCAGGAAGACCTGGAACTTCTGCTCAAGAATTGGGACAGCAAAGAAAAATACCCCAGTGAAAAATACCAAGCCGTGCATCCTGCCCGCTCTGTGGGAGGGAGGGGACATGCAGAGAAGGACCAGGGCCGGGAAGGGATGGCAAATGGCAGCAGAGCTAGGAGGAAGAGGCTCCACTAACAACCCCTGTTGGCCAAGAGCCAGTGGAGTGCTCCTCCGCAGTGGCTGAAGTCAGGTATGACAAAACTTTTGGCTCTATCTCACAGCTAGGAAACACAGAGAGGAGGTGGGGAAAAAAAAAAAAAAAGGCAGCCGAATGGATTTCACATTGTCTGAAGGAGAAGTTCAATGAAAGAAGCAAGATGAAG